GCTGGGGCTCGTGGAATCAGCACAGCGAGGGTGGGATGCTGCCCAGCGCCCGCTGGAGTGACCGCCGTGGCACATCAGAGGTGTCTGCGGGCAGCCACGCGCCAGCTCTCGGTGCGGGTGACCAGCAAGTTGTAGGGGAGGTTCTGCTGGACCTGCTACTGGGAGGAAAAAGGAAGAACTGGACACAGTTGTGAAGGTCGGGGACAGCCTTGGCTGCAGCAACCAAATGGTGGAATTTGAGATCCTGTGAGCAGCACAAATAACAGAATTGCAGACCTGGACCCTAGAACTGGCTTGTTCAGGGACCGGTTCGGCAGGATCCCATAAAAGACTGTCTTGGACAACAAAGCAGCTGAGGAATGCTGCGTGATCTTCATGGATGGCTTCCTCCAAGCACAAGAATGATCTGTTCCTGTGTGGAGTTGGGCAAGAGAGCAGTGTGGGTGAACAGTGAACAGCCTGAGCCCAAACAGGAAGAGGAGGCACAGAGAAGATGGATGCGGGTGCAGACATCCCAGGAGGAATACATCGGGGCGGGGGGGGAGTTAATAAAGCCAGAGTGCAGCTGGAGCTAGAACTAGCAAGAGATCTTAAGGGTGACAGAAGGGGCTTCTGTGAGAACATGAAAAGCAGAAGGAAAGCTAAGAGAAGTGTGGGCTCACTGCGGTGTGTGGCAGGAACTCAGAGTAGCAGAAGGTCGTTCTGGAGACCGCCTAGGTAACATATGCAAGACCAAGGGACCAGATGGGATTCATCTGAAGGAGCAGTCTCGTGCCATTGCAGAGCTCCTCTCTGTTACCTCTTAAAGCTCACAGTGATCTGGGAAGGTTCCTGATAACTGGGAAAAGGCATGTGACATGCATTCTCAAGAAGGGTAAGAAGGAGGATCTGGGGAACTACAGGCCAGTCAGTCCTGGGAAGGTTATGGAGCAAATCCTCAGGGAAGCTGTTGCCCAGCCACATGCAGGACAAGAAGGGGATTGGGAGCAGCCAGCAGGGAATTACCAAGGGCAAATCATGCCTGACCAACCTGGCTGCCTTTTGTCGTGAGATTATGATCCCAGAGGACAAAGGAAGAGCAGTGGCTGTAGTTAGTCTTGACTTTAGGAAGGCTTTGATATGGTCTCCTTGTGGTATCCTGATGGGCAGATTGGTGAGATACGGTCTGGGTAAGTGTGGACTGTAAGAGACGTGGAAGATGGGATGGACTTTGCCCCCTCCCTGGCAGTGTTCAGGGCCAGGTTGGATGGAGCTCTGAGCAACCTGGTCTGGTGGAAGATGTCCCTGCTCATGGCAGGGGGATTGGAACCAGATGATCTTTAAGGTCCCTTCCAACCCTTACCATGCTGTGATTCTGTGACTGCCAGGTTCAGGGTGCTGCTCAGAGGTACAAAGTCCAGCTGGCTACCAGTGGTGTCACTCAGGGATCTGTAGTGGGGCCAGCACAGTTCCACGTTTTCGTTCATGAGCTCTGTTAATGTGCAAGGCTGTGGACAATACCCGATTCTGGGGCAGGTTAATGTGCCAGAGGGCAGGGCTCTCCCTTAGAGGGGCCTTGGCAGGCTGGAGAAGGGAGCTGTCAGGAACCTCTTGAAGTTCAGCAGAGGCAGATACAAAGTCCTGGCCCTGGGCTGGAGTAGCCCCGTGCTCCCGGCCAGGCTCTGGGGAGCAGCTCTGCAGCCAGGGACCCACCGGCCTTGGTGGATAACAACTGGGACAGGAGCGTGCCCTTGCAGCGGAGAATCAGCCACGCGTTGGGCTGTGTGAGCAAAGGTGGCTCTGGCTCAGAGAGGTGGTGGGGTCTCTGTGAAAATGTTCAAAACTCAGCCGCACGAGGAACCGAGCAGTCTGATCCAGCTGGCCTTACCTGGAGTGAGGGGGTGGCAGAGGGGCCTCCAGAGGTCCTTCCAGCTTAAAAAATGCTCTGCTGTTCTGTGATCCTATCATTTGCTTAGAAACTTTGCAGAGAAAATTTAGGGTTCCTAACTTTTCCACTCCTAGTAATGAACGCAGTGGAAGGAAAAAAGAAGTAATATGAGCTGTGTGTAAAACACCTTGTGTCCCCAAAATGCATCTCAGAACAGGTTAAGTTACAGAGTTATTGCTGCACAACGTAACGCGCTGCTACTGTTGTACTGCAGCCAATCCAGTATAATTCTGTATATCTATAATTTTCGTGGTCCTCTAGAAGATACGTTTGTCAAAAATAACCCTTTACTTCAAGCAGAACAAAGCAAAACCACCATTTTCACTGCATCTGAAATATTTGCAAGGGATCAAACGTGATGCGGAGGGGAACGTGCCCGGCTTTCAGGGAGGTTATCGGAAAGGCGTGTGTTTATATCCAAGGACAATATTTTAACCATTTTAGAAACACAATGGAGAGCTTCTGAACCTGGTGATCCTCCGACGGGCTGTCAGTCTGAGCTTTACGGAGATACGCGATTCTTAAACTCACCTTCTCCTCTTTTCCTCTGCCAGGTTTTGCAGCGACTGATTAAATCTAGAGGAAAGTCGCAAAGTAAACACTTGAACGTTCAGTTGGTGGCAGCTGATAAACTTGCACAATGCCCACCAGTAAGTACAAAGAAAAGCTAAAGAACTTGCGATGCGTGGAGTTTTAAAGGTTTCTGTATAGCCGAGTTCACGCGTTACCGCTTCGCTTTCTGGCGACGCAGACGGCCCTGCAGCTGCGACCCTCGGCCAGGTTTTATTGCCAAGAAGCGAGCTGTTTGATACTTTCCTCCTGGTTATCTCCGGTGCTGGGTTTGTTACGATCTTTGGCAAGGTGACAGGTCGAAAATGACGTGTACGGTAAAAGTGATCAGCAGGTTACATCGTTTGTGGAGCAGTGCTGTCTGACGGTCCCGAAGGGCCAAAGCCCCAGGCTCCTGGTGGGAGAGGAGGCTGGGGAGGACTCCGCTCCCACAGCGAGTCCAGGCTGCGTGCGTGCGATCCCCGAGCCTCCTGCCAAAGCAGCGACTGCGCCACGTTCCCGTTCCCCCA